TTGAGCGGGGACTTGGGACATCCATGTCTCGGTTGGGGACGGGAGGGGAAAGGGGCCAGAGGAGTGGCGGTTGCCCATGGTTCAGGGTCCAGCAGGGAAGTCATCTAAGGGCACATGAACTCACCCACAGAAAGAGCCAGTTTGACATTCTTGCCAGGCCTGGAAACCATGGTGCCATCTTATATCTGTCCTGGGAAAGGAAGAGCTTTTGTTTGCTCCCTACCCTCTTTCTTGCCATTTTTTTTTTCTGCTCTTCTGATTCTGGAAGGATCAATCTCAGCAGTGATCACTCAGGGGCAGCTCTAAGCAAGGTGAAGAAAGGCTGGGATCTGCTGTGAACAGCTCTAGGTGGGAAGGGAGGAAAGGTTTCTTGTATCTGAATGAAGGTTGGCATATTTAGTCATACCGATAGTCCTCAGCTTAACATGGGTTGGCTTATGATTTTTCAACTTTACTTTGGTGTGAAAGTGATAGGCATTTAATAGAAAATGTCCTTTGAGTTTTGGTGTGATCTCAGCCTGGTGACACTGGGCAATGACAGTGAGTATAGCTCTCAATCAACCCTGTCATCATGGGGTCAACCAACGAGACTCTGCCATGTGCTGTATCGCTGGTTGTTTTGTGTATTGCATTCTGTGTTTTCACATCTCATGTCTGTGTGTACAAGAGATATCCAATGGTTCCTTATAAAACAGACTTAATGTTTAATGATTTTGTCTAATGATAGGCTTAAAAGGTAAGTATTTTGAACATGTCTAAGATAGATTAGACTAGGCTATACTATTTGATGGTTTATGGGTATAATATATGTATCTTGTGATATTTTCAATTTGTGATGGGCTTATTAGGACAGGTCCTTGCAAGCCAAGGACCAATTGAATGTTCAATTGAACATTGTGGTGGCAGGCTGTAATACTGTTTACTACCTATAAGTGGCCAGGAAAGGCCATATCCAATGAGAGGTAGAGTTGCCCGCAACCAAGCAAGTTGGAAAGGACAGTTAAAGAAAGCATTACATTTGCTTCTAGGACTTCTCCCCAGCAGAAGTGTTTCTTAGTGGAATTGGTGATGTCGCCAGCAGGAATGACAAATGTGTTATTATAACTTGGTTTTTAGTGCGGGGCCTGTAACATGGTGCATCTGATTCTCCCTGTATACCCAGTTTATGATAGAATTCTCCAGACTGGGAAGGCTCAGGGCCTTACCCTGCTTCTATTCACGGACTGTTGATCTGTGTGTTGTGATGATTTTCTAAAAGTGTGTATGTGTAAGCTCTTGTAGGAAGAAGGGCAGTCGTAGGCAGAAAGTGAATGCAGCGCAGATGGTGAGATGAAGTCTCAGCCAGCCACGGGGAAGCTGTTGTGTTTCACTGGGAGACCACGACTTGTGTCCTTCATGGCTAGAACTTGAGCTTCACAGACTTGATGAAGTCTTAAAGGAAGTGATCTCAGTGACTTATTGCCAGATTGCTGTGATAGAGGACGTACATTCTCTCGTGGAACTAAAGCAACAGTAGAAAATTACTGAACACTTGCCATGTGCTTGATGCTTTGGTTAATTGCCAGGCACATTCCATGTTCACATGTAACACCATTAATTCCTTTACTTCACATGTGGTAAGAGTCTGGGACTAGGTAATTTTTAAAAAGAGATTTATTTACCTTCATTGGAAACGTAGATATACAGAGAGAAGAAGGTATAGAGGGAAAGATGTTTTGTCCACTGATTTGTTCCCCAAGGGGTCCCAATGGGCGGAACTAAGCCAATCTGAAGCCAGGAGCCGGGAATGTCCTTCAGGTCTCCCACATGGATGCAGGGTCCCAAGGCCTTGGCTCATTCTCTACTGCTCTCCCAGGCCACAAGGAGGCAGTTGGATGGGAAGTGGAGCAGCTGGGACATGAACTGGCATTCTTTTTTTTTTTTTTTAAGTTCATTATTCATTTGATTTGCTAAAGACACAGAGAGATACAGACACATACTGGCCCCTAACAGCCAGTGCTGGGCCAGGCCAAAGCCAGGATCCGGAAACTCAGTTCCTTGTAATACTGGCATCCCCATTTGGCGTGCCAGTTCTAGCTCCTGGCTAATTCTCCTGGGAAGGCCCAGGTCCTTGGATCCTTGGATCCTAGATGCAGTCGCAGGTTCCTGGCTCTGGCCTGGCCCAGCCCTGGGTATCGTAGCTGCTTCGGGAGCATTTCCTCTCTCTTTCACTCTGCCTGTAAACATTTTTTTTAAGAAAAGTTGCAGATGAAGTGGGCGTTTAAGCCTCATAGCTAATATGCTAGTATCTTACATCAAAGTGCCTGGGTTTGCTGTGACATTATTTTTTTTATTATTAGTGTTTTAAAAATTATTTTATTATTGTTATTTTTAAAGATTTATTTGTTTTTATTGGAATGGCAGACATACAGATAGGAGAGACACAGAAGAAGATCTTCCATCTGTTGATTCACTCCCCAAACAGCTGCAATAGTCAGTGTTGTGCTGATCCGAAGCCAGGAGCCTCTTCCAGGTCTCCTATGCGGGTACAGGATCCCAAGGCTTTGGGCTGTTCTTGACTGCTTTCCTAGGTCATAAGCAGGGAGCTGGATGGGAAGTGGGGCCACCAGGACATGAACCAATGCCCATATGTGATCATACCGCATGCAAGGTGAGGACTTACTTGCTAGGCTACAGTGTTGGGCCCATGCTGTGACACTTTAAAAAATACGTTTATTTATTTTTATTGGAAAGATGGAAGGAGAGACAGAGAGAGTGAGAGAAAGGAAGAGAAAAAGAGAGAGAGAAAAATTTTCCATTCACTGGTTCACTCCCCAAATGGCTGCAACAACTGAAATTCAGGCAATTCAAAGTCAGGAGCCAGGATCTTCTTCTGGGTCTTCCAGGGGTTCAGCGGTCCAAGGACTTGAGCCATCCTCTGCTGCCTTCCTAGGCCATAAGCAGGGAGCTGGACTGAAGTGGAGCAGCTGTCACTCCCACAGCCTCTCAGATGGTATATATATATTTTTAAAGATTTATTTATTTTTATTACAAAGTCAGATACACAGAGAGGAGGAGAGACAGAGAGGAAGATCTTCTGTCCGATGATTCACTTCCCAAGTGAGCGCAAAATGGCCAGTACTGTGCCAATCCGAAGCCAGGAGCCAGGAATTTCTTCCAGGTCTCCCACACGGGTGCAGGGTCCCAAAGCTTTGGGCCGTCCTCGACTGCTTTCCCAGGCTGGACGGAGGGAGATGGATGGGAAGTGGAGCTGCCGGGATTAGAACTGGCGCCCTTAAGGGATCCCAGGGCGTTCAAGGTGAGGACTTTAGCCACTAGGCCACACCACTGGGCCCCATCAGCATCTTCTTTAAACCCAGCCCCAAAGGACCATGAATCCTAGTGACTAACGCTTCTGCCTGTGAAGCCATCCCAAATGAGCTCTGGTTCGAGTCCTGCAAGCTCTGCTTCCCATTCAGCTCCCTCTCATAGGAAGAGCAAGGGAGGATGGCACACGTGCTCTCTGGGAGACCAAGAAGAGGCTTTTCATTTTGGTTTAGTCCATTCCATGTTGCAGTGGCCACATGTAGGATAAACTAGCAGATGGAATATCCTGAGTCAAGAACACTGTGTGGTATCTGACTCCGCAGATGTTCAAGCAGAAGTGACTGTCATCAGTGCTGGGTGTGAGCCATGGCAGCCCTGGCACCTCTGGGTAATGGCCAGGCGTTTGCATCATCTTTCCTCTAAACCTTCTCTGAAGAAAGCCATTTTGAGGAGACTTTTCAGTGATCCTGAAATGTCATTAATGATGCTGACATCTTTATGGAAAAAAGCTAACACCTATGGGAGATGCTTTCCAGATGCTGCAAAAAGTCACAGTCAAAGCATGCCTTTGGGAATCCTGATGTGCTGTAATATTTTGAATGCCTTGGCCGGAGCATGGCGGGAGATGCAAGGGTGCAAGGGGACATGGCACCCTCTTGTGGTGGGGTGCAGGAACTTCACTTTTCAGTCCTTGATTAAAAGCATCTCAGAAAGCACCTGCTGTTTTCCTCATCTGGTCTCCCAGAACCCAGAGGTTCACCTGAGTGGGGATGTGTGGGAAAGCTAAGCCCTGCCCCTCTCCCTCCTATTCTGTTCCCACACGGACAGCTGAGGTGTCCAGGCAGCTGTCCAGCAGGTGGAATTTGTCCCCAAGTCCCTAAGAAACCTTCCCAGCAGAGTATGACTGAAGAACCTCTAGGAACGGTATTTGTTGTATTTGTATGCAAGGAGATTGGATGGAGGAGACCACCCTGTTAATAGGCCAGCCTCTGTGATACCCCGGGAGCTACGTTCTAAGACCCCCAGCTGCCCAAGGACCGTGACTTACTTCCTGGAAACCTCAGGTTCAGGCCACTCTGGCCTGCTTGCCCCTTGCTCTTTGCCCGCTCCACCGCTGCCTGCTGTGGTGCCCATCCTGCCGCAGACTTTTCCTCAGGTTTCGGGAGGAAACTGTCCCGTGCACACCGCGTGCAGAGCTATGGAGTTGTCCCAACCCTGGGAGCACAGAGCCCTCCCCTCCATCTCTTTGTAAGGAGAGAGAGGGGCTGCTGCGCAGGTGAGCAAAGAACCCAGCAAGTTTTGACAGCTGCAGGGGAAGATGAGCGGGTTTCTAAGGAAACCAAGAGGCAGCAGCCATTTTAGTGGCATTTGCAGTATGAAAAATATATAGACACTGGCTCTCTCCTCCTCCCCCCACCCCCCCACCGCCCAATCCCCTCCTCTTGTGACACCTGCCCTCTGGCCCTGGCTTCGGAGGAGGCCCCGAGGTGAGGGTGGGGCCCAGGTCTCCCAGGAACGAGGCGGGCACCTGTCGCAGGTGGCCATCTCCTGGGGTCACCCCCCCCCTCCCTGGAGGGCGGGACGCAGGCTCCCCACCCACCCCGGGCACCGCAGTGCAGCGAGCTCAGCTCCGCGGGTGCCTGGGCCCTCCCCTCCGATCCCCTTCCCTCCCACCCGCCTGCAGGGAGCCCGCTGGGAGGGCGGGCCCGTCAGCTGCGCGTTGGTCGCCAGGAGGGCGGGAGGAGGTGTAGGCAGAGGTAGAGTGAGCCCGGGAGGTCGCCGCCGCAGCTGGGGGACACGGCGCGCTGCTGCTGCCCAACATGGTCGCTGCGCACGCTGCCCATTCTTCCTCCTCGGCCGAGTGGATCGCCTGCCTGGACAAGAGGTACCTCGGGCAGGGTCACCAGCTAGGGCCAGGGGCTACGGTGCTGGACCCCTACCCAGGGCCAGCCCGCACTGCCGCGGGCACTATGCGTGGAGCTGTAGCGTGGTACCTGGGCGCAGCGTGGCCGCGCTGCGGGTGGCCAGGGTCCCCCAAGTGGGGGAGGGGCTGCGGCCCGAGTTTCGGAGGCGAGAAGACACCGACCCTGAGCTCTGGTGGGGTGCACGGGCATGAGGTTATTACATCTGGGGGGGGGGGAACCGTAGCACAGTGGGGTTGGGTGGGGGTCCCAGGCTCTCAGATCCCCGTCCCGTGGCCACTCAGCTCAGATGGGGGTTGGTTTTTCTTCTGGCACCGGGACAGAACAGAGAGACGCCGGCTCCGCTGCTGCTGCTCAACGGGAGCAGAGCAAGTGTGATTTGAGTTCTAAGACGTGGTGAAGGGACAGGTGCAGATTGTCTTTTTTGTTGTTGTTTCCTGGAAGCCAAGTGTGAGGCACCTAGTGTAGCTGTCAAGTCCCAGGCTGAAATTCACAGCCCTCTGCCCCCGCGGGCAGTTGCTCACGCCAGGTCTGCCTTGGCAAGGTCACCCAGGTGGCTGCTCGGTGCTCAGTTTAGGGAGTGTGTGACTTCTGAAGACCACCCTCTAAGCAGGCTGCTGCATGGAGACTGCGGTCGTCCCAGGCTATGACAGCCTAATTTTCTGTTTGTCCAGATTGTGGGGTTAGCAGTAAACATGACACAGTATGTTAGCAATTGTGGTGCATTATCCTGATTAAAAGCGGATGATGTGTGAGAACTTTGAAGGACTGGGTGGGCGATGGAGCCGAGGGAGCTGCCTCTGGATTTGGCAGTTGGGAGCAGGAAGGAGTCAGACTTGCAGCTGTCCTGATCTCTCCCTTTGCACTTGCGTGAGATACTTTGTGCTCTGCCATCTTGAAAAAAAATTTCAATCAACACGCTTGTAGCCTGATTGAAACGGAAAACCTCGAATGAGACACACTGTGTGAGCTCTACCATTACAGGCCTTTGCTAAAAAAAATAATTATTTGAGAAAGTCCAAATGTAACTCACTCGCATAACTTACTATATCTGAAAAACAATCTTGACTTTCAATTGCCACAGTAGCAAGATTTTTTTTTTTTTGGCAAGCAGAGCCACATTTATGTCTAAAATGTTATGTGCTAATATTAGATGCTTCATGCAATAAATAGAAAGAGAATTGAAGTGATGCTTAAACATACAAAATTAAGTAGAGGAACCATGAGCTTGTTTAACTATAGAACCTGCTAAGGCGGTAGGCAGTCTAATAGTTTAGGAAAGATGAATTATAAAAACACACAGAAATAAGGATCTTGCATTCCACCTAGAAGCAGCAATGCTGCCTTGTGAGTGAAAATTTTAGATAACTAGATAACTTTTCTATTTGTAGAAATGCAGGCTGTGTGATTTCTTGAAGCTATCAATAATTTGCTGAAAACCCGTCAATAAGTACTTATACCAAAAATTGTAGAATAATACTAACACAAGTTGAGTATATATGCCCTTGTCTTTTTATAATTTGCATCTGCTGAGATGATGTTGTTTGTGGTGGATGTTTAAAACATGTGCCACAATCGAATGCCACCATGTATCATGCATATTAGGAAAAAGAAAAACTGCCCCAGGCACTCAGCCTGGCACCAGTGGAGCCCCAGTGAGGAGACAGATGCATACACCAAGGGTCTTAGGCCCAGATTGTCAGTCTACTGTTCCCATTCTGAGTATGTCACTTTTAGTTCCTTGGGTGTCTCAAAAATGTGGATCGGACTATCAGGCAACCAAGGGGAAGGTACTTTGGAGGCTGTGAGGTGCCATGAAGGTCATCTGTTTTGTGGTCTTAGAAGAACTTTGTTGTGTGGATACCAGCATTCCTGCGACTTCAGGAGTGGCCAGCTCGTTATTAGAGAAACCTGGAGATGTGCTTTGAGGATGCATTTTTACTTAGATTGTTAATTTGAGAGGGAGAGATAGGAGAGCGAGCTCTCCGGTTACTGGACTCATCTACCACAGTCTGCATTAGCAGGTGGTTTTAGTCAAGAGCCAAAGCTGGGAATTGAACCAATTGATAACCGCCAGTGGAGCCAGCCCTGTCTCTTTTTTGAGAGGAGGAGATGCCGAGCAAGAGAACTGGTGGCAGTTGGCTAGTGATCCTCGCTGAAGTTCTTTTGTAGGAGACTGTGCTTAATGTTTCTGAGAAATGCCATCTTGGCACCTGATTCTGGGTTCTCTGCTTGGCGTTGGGGATGCAGCTAACAACTGAGGGTTGTTTATTGGCTTGCAAGATGGAGACTTGGTGGTGGGACAGCTGCATAACCAGGCAACTGCGATGCCATGGTGAGTGCTTTAGTGGAGATGCGTAAAGTGCTTTGGGAATGCAGAGGGAAAGAGAGCTATTAGGCTGCCAGGGCTGCAGCCACAGGCTCTTGCTAGGACCTTAGAGGGTGAGGGGAATGGTAAAAAATTAGGGAGGCTGTCCAAGATGGAGAGAGCAATTTCAGCAAAGGCCCTAAGGTGCGATCCTTGCAGATTTCTTCCCAGCTACAAACTCTTTATTGTGATCAAATCCAGAATACAGGAATGCCTGTCCTTTTTTTTTCTTATCTTTTTTTTTAAGATTTTATTTTTATTATTTTTTTTATTGGAAAGGCAGATATACAGAGAGGAGAGACAGAGAGGAGAGACAGAGAGGAAGATCTTCCGTCCGATGATTCACTCCCCAAGTGAGCACAACGGCCAATGCTATGCCGATCCAAAGCCAGGAGCCACTTCCGGGTCTCCCACACGGGTGCAGGGTCCCAAAGCTTTGGGCCGTCCTTGATTGCTTTCCCAGGTCACATGGAGCTGGATGGGAAGCAGGGCTTCTGGGATTAGAACCAGCACCCATATGGGATCCTGGCGAATGCAAGGCAAGGACTTTAGCTGCTGAGCTATCGCGCCAGGCCTGGAAGATCTGTTTCTCTGTCTGTCTTTCTCTTTATAAGTCTGCCTTTCCAATAAAAATAAGTACATCTTAAAAGAAAAAGCACACCTAGCAAATTTCTAAGCACTAGCAGGGAATATGACTCTGAGACCTTCTAACTGGGAAGATAATGTAACTGGGAAATATGTTTCAAATACACACATCATTTAGGTGACAACTATTGTGTTTGGCAAGGCAGAGAAACCTAAGCATTGGAAGCAAAAAGAAGAGCCGTAATGGGAAGTCTGCAAGGAGTCCCATATGCAATGGGAGTGAGCTCAGACACATAGGCAAGGAGCAGCCCCTGTCTCGGTGGTGGAAGTGATGAGGGTCTCTGAAGACTCTCCTTAAAGCCAGAGAGACATCAGACACTTTGGGGCATATGCTGACTTTACAAAAGCCTCAAGGACATGTGGTCAAAACAGGCTTTCTAATGCCTTATGGATCACATGATTTTTTTTTCCTGGACAGTGATGGCACCCAATTCCCACTATTGGGGAGTTAAAGGACTTGCAAGGTCATTTAAAAAAAAGTGTACTATTGTTGAAATGTAGTGAAAATGCTTTGCCCCTTTGGTTTTCAGTTTGTCAGCTATGACTTTAAAGGCCCTTCTGTAGGTCCTACTTGCCGTGGTTGCTAAGGGAGTGTTACGAAGGGCCAGGGCCACACGCATTCACATATGTCCAATGAATCATTACCAGCACTCCTCATGACAGTTCAGAGCTTGGCAAACAGCAGCTTGTAGGCCAGATCTGGCAGCCCTCCATCTCCTGAGCTAACCGTGATTTTTACGGTTCCTGAATGGTGGAAAAAATATATCGAGAGTATGATTTGGGGGCCGTGGCATTTATCTGCAATTCAAATTGCAGCGTCTATGGTTGGAGCACAGCCAGGCTTACATTTGCTTATGTTGTGTCTGCGGCTGCTTCCACATTCTAGTGGCCAGGTGGAGAGCTGTGACAGGGACTGTGTGGCTAACTGGGCTTCCTGTGCTTGCTCTGCATGAGGGGGATGAGCTCAGTGACTGCGTGAGACCACTGGAGAGGAAGGAAGATGCGCTGGCCTTGCTCTCTCGTTCTTTAGTTAGAAGCAGAGCCTAGAGGGAGGCCTTCAGTTTGGGATTTTTTTGCAGGACTTCTGGCCATCCTGGGCTCAAGCAAGAGAGGAAGTTCACCCGAGGGCTTTTGTCAAGAAGGTTGTGATCCTTTTTTGTCGTCCTTCACCCCCTTCCCTGCCACAATAGACATTACAGTTGCTGTTTTGAAATGGTTGAACGAGAATAAAAGAAATCCAGGAACAAGTTTGTTAAGAACCAAGAGCGCTTTGTAGCCTACATCATGGGAGAAGATGACTCAGCTATCAGAGAGGCATCCGTTGTGGTCCTCCCCCACTCCCAACAGGGATCAAAGAGGCATGCAGAGCAGGAGGTGCCCCTGGGGAGGCTGGTGTCTACAGCTTGTCCCCACAGGGATGATATGACCAGGGGTGGAGGGGGGTTGATCTCCAGGACGCAGATCTCCTGATTTGTCAGCACATCAAAAATGAATGCAGCCTTGAGGGCCAGAGACACGGGCACCAAGCTGTGAAAGCCAGGAAGACAGTTTATTAATTTGACAGTAGGATCTGCAGCATGAGAGAAGTGGACACTCAATCCTCCAGCTAGCGTCTTCTTTCTCTAGGCAGGCAGGCTGGAAAATGCACTTGTTACTAGAAGTTGGTTGTAGATATTTTCCCCATGAGAAGCAAAGCAGTGGGGAGAGCAGGACGCTTCTGGCTCCTGGCAGAAGAGCCTGTTGCCTTCCTAGCAGGACAGAGCCGAGGAGCTGAATTCTAATCAGCAGTCCTGGGAAGCCTGCAGCACCATGTGGCTGTCACCTCCTGCAGCTGGGGGACTGTCGTGTGGTCCCCAAATACACTTTGTCCAACAAATGCAAGTCAGACCCCTTGTTGATTTCTCCTTTCACATTCCTTGCTGTGATTTCCTGTCTGTTATTGATCCTTTG